ACTAACACGATTGCGTGACATGGGAGTTAAGCATGGTGATGCACGTCTTTGCCGTCTTCGAGGCCGAGAAAGGAGACAATATAACCAGCTTCTCATGGGGACAATTAGTAGAAGTACTTTAGAGTGGCTGCTGCTTCGGAGAACTGAGCACGCATGGGTATGCCCAATGTGCAGTGACATTAATTGTGATAACAGAACATAAAATAACATCTTAGTAGGGAGTCGGCAGTACGAAACCCAAGTTCAAGGTGTCTCCTTCGTGCCAAAGAACTGCATGGCTGTTGGGTGAACAGTCGTTAACGATGGCAGGCAGGTCGTTGTAGGGGCGACGCCTGCTGGTGGATGTAATGTCCTAAGTCCCTTCCCCAGCTAATAATGAGGGTACTGCTGGGGTGACCGTTTATTAACCCTCATATAATTCTTCCGGTCAAAATGGACGCTAGGTACGGCCACCCTTTTTTTTTTTTTTTAAAGCCGTGGCAAATATTTTTTTTTTTTTTTTTGCCAGACGGTGGCCGTTGCATTTTTGCTCCATTTGTAGACTGGAAGGATGTAGTTTCGTCGCCCAGCTTCTGAGTTGAGTGCATGACGTGACACTGTGAGCTGCGTTTGTTTTCGTTGGCACAGGAGCGGAGCATATGTGGGGGTGACCCGTTTGCTATGAAGCTGAAACTAGGATTACCAGATTACCAGATTACCAGAATCAAGTAACCACGGTAGACAGCAGTCGCTCCACTGGACAGTCAATGAAGGTGAGATATTTATTTGACAGGAGGCGTATGGAGATCCAATCCCGATCCTGATAGTTAGCGCTTAGATTACCGAGGAACTATCCCTTAAAGTTGAACACTCGTAAACAAAGATTAATGACAATGGGTGCTGCAGAACATTAGTGACACTGGACATCGCAGTGAATTTGTTGTTAGATTATAGTCAGATATTTCGTAAACGTCTAGTGTGCAAGTCACAGACAGACGCAGACTGCCGGACGCGATTGTGTTGTAACAAACTGAAACAGTAACAGTGTTTTAAGTTATCTAAATTTTAATACTTAAATGAGATACTTGATGCCATGGCTGGTACTAGTAAGAAAGCTAAATGGGTGTGTGAAAATCGTATGTTCAACAATGACTGGACACTGAAATATTTATTTATATCACCAACAATGCCTAATTCGAAACCAATGTGCTTGCTATGCAACGAATGTGTGTCGGCAGTAAAGGAGTACAACGTAAAGCGGCACTTTACAACGAAACATGCTGATTTTGGAAAATCATATCCAGAAGGTTTCACTGCTAGGAAATCAAAGGTTGAGTCATTGATTGCTACTTATCAGCAAAGCAGCAAAATGTTTGTGCAAGCTTGTACTCAACAAGAAAAAGCCACAGCGGCTTCTTTGCATGTTTCGTGGATATTAGCCAAAAAGAAGCGGCCTTTCACTGACTCAGAAACCGTGAAAGAATGCATACTAGCAATTCTAGACGAAATAGCAGTTGATGATAAAAACAAGCGTGTCACATGCAGTTCAGCAAATCCCTATGTCGGATACTTCGACGATACGCAGAATCGAAATTTTAGGAACTGAAGTTTTTGAATCTTTAATTGAAAACATAAAGCAGGCAGAATTTTTTTCAATTGCCATTGACGAATCTACAGATATCATAGACGTGGCTCAGTTATGTTTATATGTGCGTTTTTTTTTCGATGGAAAATGTTTTCATGAAGAACTTCTAGGTTTAATAGCATTAGAAAATTTCACAACTGGAGAATTTATTTCTGATAAGATTAAGTTATTTTTTTTAAACAGAAAATGGACTTGATTTGAAAAAAATTTGTTTATTGGTAATGGACGGGGCGCCGTCAATGTTAGGTAAGCACCAAGGTGTGACCGCCAGGCTTTCTGCAATAGCACCTCAGATGCAGTCGCTTCATTGTCTTATCCATCCAAGTGTTCTGTGCAGCAAACTGAGCGACAAGATGAAGGAAACAATGGCTATGGTGATGAAAATAATCAATTTCATTCGATCTTCATCAAGTCTTCAGCACAGGTTATTTCGGCAGTTACTTGAAGAAACGGAAGCAGATTACAAAGACTTACTTCTGCATAATGACGTTCGTTGGCTGAGTAAAGGGAAAGCACTTGATGGTTTTTGGAGTATCAAAGAAAAAATAATGTTTTCTTGGAAAATGTTCTCATAATAAGGCAGAAAAGTAAAGGAAAATATTACGTGACAGTGCATTTTTGGCAAATGTATGTTTTATAAACGATTTGTTTGCTCATTTGAACACACTGAACTTGCAACTGCAAGGAAGACACAACTCAATCATTGATCTGGTTGAAAAATTGAACGATTTTCGAGATAAGCTAGCTTTGTTTGTAACGGATCTCCAAACAGCCAAACTTCTTCATTTCCCAAACTTGAAGGATTTTATTTCTTCAACACTGGACTCAGCAAACATAACTAATCGTATGATAGATTTATTAAAAAAGCTTCAGAACAATTTCAACAACAGATCCTTTTAAAATTCCCCCTGCGGGTGATTTTTCTTCGAATGCTAAAAAGCCGTTACCCTCTGTTGATGAAGGTTCTCTGCAGTTAGAACTTGTGGATATCCAAAGTTCCAGAGCACTGAATGAAGGTTTTCAAGAAAGTGGTACCGTCAAGTTTTGATCCGAAACATTTCAACAGGAGCAGTTTCCTAATGCTAGAAAGGTTGCCGTTTTCATACTCACCATGTTTGGTTTAACTTTCACTTGTGAATCAAGCTTTTCACATATGAACGTCATCAAGACAAACAGTCGGAGCTCACTGAGCAATGATAGGCTGCATGAGAATTGCTCTGACTTCTCACCAACAAAATTTTATAAAATTAGCTCAAAAATGGAAATCCAACTTTTCCCATTAATTAAATTTTGCCCCATTATTGCTTTCGGGTTTTCTGTACAAAGACATATGAAACGAACTGGGGACAGTTATTATTAAAACTGAAGTGACTGATGCAAACGTTCATTTATTATTCAAACAACAAGTTAGAAATACGTGTGTTTCAATTAAAAGTGAGTATTTTTTAATCATTACAAAAGATTGTAGTAAATTTTATGTTACAATAGTTTACAAAACTGTTTCATTTATATTACCGTAGGCTAGGCCATAGGGAGCCTAGGTGTAACCGTCTTAGAGTGTATTAAATGTACACATCTACAGTTTCCTCGACTATAGTGTTGATAATTTTAACACACTTGTCTTGGGCCACTGGCCCGCGATGATCCCAATTTTCAACATTTTGGCCCGCTAGTAAACTGAGTTGAATAGCCCTGCCATAGACTAAAGTATTCACAGTTTAGCAGGTTATTTACCTTAGTTATAATGCAGGGAGATAGACAAGAAAAAGAAAGGTAAGAAACAAATGCTCGGTGCTAAATTATTGACCTGAAGTTTCCAGCAGTTTTCCTCTTGTGTAATTACTTTCCCAGGGACTGCATTCTGAATGATTGACCCCCAGCGCTCAAATGGCCACACACCACTCAGTAGGACTTTTACAGAGCACACTCCTATCACGGCCTTTTTGAAGGAAACTCGATTATGATAAAGGGCAACCAGCCTGGTACAAACTGAAGTTCTATGCGGGTACTGACGAATTATCTATCGTCGTCTATACTGGCCTTTCTGCACGGCCTTCTCTTTTTATTTAAGAAGGCGTTGCCATTCTCCACCTCTCTTCCCCTCCTTCCAGGAACGGACAACGACCGGATATCCTGGGCCCGTCCCAATGGGGAAATTACGTCATGTCCCAGCCGCTAGGTGTCGCTGTCTGTTGTATTTCTGAATGTCGGCATCTCGAAGTCAGTCAGGTTTTGTTCTGCTGAGTAGTTTGTTGTTGTTTAATCTATTTATATGTATAATATGCACCTGGTTCTTTATATATATTGAGACTTAAGATGATAATAATTGAACCTATACATGATATAGCGGCACTGATATCGTACTTTGTAAATTTTTCACAGATGAAAGGGGTGCTGTGGCTGCCTCTGCAATTTTTTTCGTCAAAATTGACAAAATCAAAATCAACACCACCAACAGCCAAATGTAAACGAACTATATTGAATAAATGAAATAAGGTGTAATCGCATTCACTAATTGCAGTATCCAAAAAAAAAATGTTATTTTGCTTAAAGTGTATTCTTTATTAATTTAACAGTTCTCCTCTGAGCTTTTACCCCTTATTATGGCGGCCAAACAAATGGCTCTCCTTTGAACTTACACCTAAAATGGCGGCCGTAATATGATGGCACATTCTGGCCATAAAATATCCAAACGACGGTGTTCATGTATACCTAAAATACAGACTTTCTGCCAAGGAACAAATCTCGGCAAAACTAGGATTACTTGACACTCAATATCAACATTGCACACGGTAGTAGTAGCAAATGATAAATACCGACCGTTGACAACAATTTCAAGCGTTTCTGCAGACGATATTAGTGACCGTTGACCAATTTCGAGACATTACAGACGATGAAAGCCCTTTTAGCAATACTGTGTTCTTCTGATTGGAGGATTTAGCAGCTGTAGATGTCAGACTTGTCGGCATGCGCCAAACGTGATTAAACTCATCGCTGAGCGTATCCCCCGCGCCGCTATGCGCGGCGCGGGTGTGGGGCTAAATTAGGTGCTTGGGACTCACGAGTACAGTAATTTGAGGAAGTTGCAGGAGATGTGGTAGCTGCTGCTTGTGAGTCCCAGCCATCTAGTTTAGTCCCCATCCGCACTGTGCGTAGCGTCGCGGAGGATACTGTCGGCGGTGAGGCACACTCGCAGAAGCAGGTCCGCAAGTAACGTATCGCCGAGACCCTTATATCTATATCTAGAAATGTTGCAGATCCACTTCTGTACTCTTTTAACCCATTGCTTGCATAGTGAATGTTTTCTTAGCTTGATAACTCATAACTTATAGCACCATTTATAAACTGTAGACTCTTTCAAAATGTCTTTGGCAGGATGAGTTTTATAGATGATAGAGGTGCAGCCAAAGAGCTGGACCAGTGGATTGAACAACTCAATGACTGCAAGCAGTTATCAGAGAATCAAGTGAAAACACTTTGTGAAAAGGTGGGTGTTAAATATGTGTTGTATCAGCAGAGATTATAACAATTAGGTGTTGATAAGGTACTTTTTTTCCCCCTGATGGTACTGGCACTCACATTTTTAGACCCTGATTACCAGCACCTTTGTTGTTCTCTCTGAAGAAACCTCTGAGTACAGTTAACATCTGTTAAATAGAATCTCTTGCTTGTAAGGATTAACATTCTTTCCTTTCTCAATCCATGGGGTCTTTCTAGTGTCGGGCTTATCTCATTTTTGTTGACTTTTATATTTTAGCTAGTGGCATTTATTTTTCTAAAATACTTAACACTGTGGGTGTATGTATATCATATTCATTTCATATGTACATTTATTTTAACACAGTTTTTGCACTTTAAAAGCTTTGATTGCATTTGTATGTTCTAACCCACTCCCACCATATGTATTCTGGCCCCAGTCTTTAGGCAGAACCCCCCCCCCCCCCCAACATTTTATCCAAGACGACTATTTAGAATTTTTCTGAAATCAGATATGTTGTGCCAAAAGACACGAATATCACAGCCTAGCTGTGTGCAACACCTTGTAGCAGAAGTACTTTCCCCCCTCCCTTCATGTTTTAGAGCTTGTTCAGCTGTCGGTTTGAACTCCAGTGTGTATTTTTGATTTATTAATCAATTTTCTGTTTTCTTCATGTCTACTTTTGATTCCGCTTGATTTTTCTTTTGGTATTTCCGTAGGCCAGGTTCCTTAAATAATGCCTATGAAAATCATCGACATCATCATATACCTCACCAGTCATCGTAGGCATTCATGTCTTTTTTTTCCCAGTTATTAGTTCTTGATGGTCGGGATGAATGTGGTTAATAATATTCCTGCATGTCACTATCAGAGACCATCTGTCAACGTTTCTTTTGGTTTGCCTCTTCTTCAGCTAGTTGATGTTCTCTAGGGACTCTCTTCTCATTAGCAAAATGTATCTTTTTAAATAGGCAGGTTCCAGGTGTGGGTTCTGGAGCCCATTGGGGGGGGGGGGGGATAGACCCACTGCCTCATAACAAGTGTATTGTAGAAGGCGAATAGTTAGATGTTTTTTGTCAAAGTCATTCATGGACCCTACATTTTTTGGGGTCTGCACGAAGAGTTTCTGCTCTCTGTTTGCTGAAATAATCCTGGGTGAGAGCTGTGCCCAGCTGTGAAAAAAAATTCTGCAACTTCCTTCAGAGGTTGTTAACTATTTTCAATCAACAATTTCTGATGCAGTGTGTAACTCTGAATAACTGTAAGAGTAAATGAATTACAACAATTTCTGATGCAGTATGTAGCGTGCATACGCATGGCAGGGAAGAAACCAGCAGTCTACATACAAATAAACCAGTTATGCAAAATGGATTTGCATGCACAACTCAATTTCTGGAATAATACAGAAATGGATGAACCAGCAGAGCTTTCCGGTGGAGTTTTCAGCCGGTGAATGCAAAGAAGAAATAGATAGGTCATCATGATTTCATGTCAGCGAATTTGTATTTTTTACACGAGACTTTAAAAACTAGCTAACTTATAAATTTGTTTTAGGCTAAGGAGATTCTGTCCAAGGAATCCAATGTCCAAGAGGTGAAATGCCCAGTGACCGTATGTGGCGATGTTCATGGTCAGTTCCATGATCTAATGGAACTGTTCCGCATCGGTGGCAAGTCGCCAGATACAAACTACCTGTTCATGGGAGATTATGTGGACAGAGGCTATTATTCTGTAGAAACTGTTACATTATTGGTGTCATTGAAGGTTAGTGGCATTTTTTGTAATTAAATGATGACTGAATTATCTTGACAGTTAATGTAGTTAAGGTTTTTAAATTGACCTAAGTGAGATTTTTACCAAGGTGATGTTTTAAAGATTACTTTTATTACCCTTTCACCCCACTGATCTAGAAAAAAAAATGTCAGCCACGTGTATTTAGGGAATTCGTGGAAATAATTCTTTAAAAAAAAAACTATTTTACGCAGGTCACCAAAAAAAAATCATAACAGATCCATCTATGAAGCAAAAGAATATTATTTTCCATACAGAATAAGAGGCGCTATCAGTAAACATGAATGCAGCAGAGAATTAACTACCTCTATTTGTCAGATGTATACAGTGACTCATACTTGACCTACTAACCTCATCGCTGGATGACCACTAGTGTTAATACAAAATTATGACATAATTTCTTTTTAAAAAGCCATTTGTTGACAATGAAACCCCCTTAATTTATATTTTTCAGTAATATGTAATCGATTAATGTTCCCCTAAACGTTTGAGCTGGCTCGTACAATGCATTTACTGTTAATGTACTGTTAACTATGCTTCTCAAAAACAAGTCACCATTGAAACCGACTCATGGTCTTCGGATATGCGGTTTCACTCAGCCCCCCCCCCCCCCCCACCCCCCCCCACCCCCCACCCCAAAAAAAAATTTGCTGATTTACAACACATTTCCTATACCAATCTAAAGGCCTATGAGTGTGGAAATGTCAGCTGCATCGATGTGATAGACAAGCTTTTGCACTTTGCATTTTTCTATTTCCAAACAGCATTTTGTGCTGTAGAAATTTTGTGGTTTCTATCATCGTTGTCGCTACTTTCAGTTGCAATATCATTCACTGTTGTAATTATGCTTAGCCAGGAATTATCTCTTTCTGTTCCACATTCGCTGGCAGAGTCAGAATCATCTCTGCGAGTGGTTTTTTTTTGTCATCAGACACGATATAAAAGCGTGCACTTGTTAAAAAATTAACCAGATTCGACTGAAAACAATTCTTGTAAAGGCTCTAAGCAATATCCATCTTGGAATAATTAAAAATACCCGGATGAAGCCTAATTCGAATACTCTTGGTAAGGCCTTTTGTTTGCATTCTATTAGTCACTAGTTCCACAATTGTCAAATCTGGTCACCAGGTTATATGACGGGAAATTCAATGATTGTCAGATTTGTTCGACAAAGTGTTAAAGGTAGTCTTCTTGTTCTTAAAGTCTATGCCGTGTGGTGTTGGTAGTCATGTCTATCCACAACCTTCTGTCTCTTGTACTTCCAGTCAGCTCTGATACAGATGATCCTCTATGACATGATGTCAGATAGTCCAGCATCTTATTCTCTCCGTCTGCCACTGCCTCTGGTAACCTCCAACTTTCCTCTTGTCATGATGTATTGCTTCTGATCACCAGACCAAAGAATGTAGATTGTCTCTTTCTAACCTCCAACTTTCCTACTGTCATGATGTATTGCTTCTGATCACCAGACCAAAGAATGTAGATTGTCTCTTTCTAACCTCCAACTTTCCTCTTGTCATGATGTATTGCTTCTGATCATCAGACCAAAGAATGTAGATTGTCTCTTTCTAACCTCCAACTTTCCTCTTGTCATGATGTATTGCTTCTGATCACCAGACCAAAGAATGTAGATTGTCTCTTTCTAACCTCCAACTTTCCTCTTGTCATGATGTATTGCTTCTGATCACCAGACCAAAGAATGTAGATTGTCTCTTTCTAACCTCCAACTTTCCTACTGTCATGATGTATTCCATCTGATCACCAGACCAAAGAATGTAGATTGTCTCTTTCTAACCTCCAACTTTCCTACTGTCATGATGTATTCCTTCTGATCACCAGACCAAAGAATGTAGATTGTCTCTTTCTGATGTGGGCAGTCAGTTCTCCTGGTGAGTTTCTATCCAGACATAATCACTACTGTTTTAATCTTTCCAGGGTATTCTCATCATTCGTCTGTAAAACCACATCTTCTCTGCTTCCAAATAATATTTCATGAATCTACCAACTGTCCATGATTTACTTCCGTAAATCAAGATAGGATTTATATAGCTTTTGCAAATGTTCTCTCTTGTCTCAGTTGACAGAGAAAGATTGCAGTAACAAGAAAGGGCAGCCACAGAAGAATATCTAAAAAAGATGTGTTGACATCTATGAATGTGGGGCAAAAATGAACCTGTGAATGTCCTATAGAAAGTTGCATTTATTACAAAATGAGACATGTTGACATTCACTAAGTGCTCGCTAAAACTTGCAGGTTCGCTTCAAGGACAGAATCACAATTCTGCGAGGCAACCATGAAAGTCGTCAAATTACACAGGTCTATGGATTCTACGATGAGTGTCTACGAAAGTATGGCAACGCTAACGTATGGAAATACTTCACAGATTTGTTTGACTACCTACCTCTCACAGCCCTTGTTGATGGCCAGGTTGGTATGCTTACTGTTTTATGCTGTTATTATTTTTGCATTGCTTAGACTCCTACCATGTAATTAATGCTAGTTATCTTGGGGGGGGGGGGGGGGGGGTGTGGAGATAGACCCACTGCCCCCTAACAAATTGATTTATTGGGGGGGGGGGGGGGTGGAGATAGACCCCTGCACCCCCCCCCCCCCCCTCCAACAAGTTGACTAATTTGGGGGGGGGGGGGGTATTTCAAGTCTGACTGCATGTGCCTGAGAGGTGAGGAATCAACAGTCTGCATCACAGATAAGCCAAATTTATAAAACAGATATGCATGCAAAACTCAAGTTCTGATACAGTACTTGGAATGGATGAGCAACCAGAACTTTCCACCAGAGTTTACAGCTGGTGAATGTGAAGAAGAAGAAAAAAGTATCCTATTTGTCTTCAGTGTGTCTACACCATTGTCGTTCCTAGGCCAGAGTAAGAAAGGAAGAGGGTTGGGCATGTGAATAGACCCTCACCCTGTAAACCAAACCTGCTACAGAAACTCATAGAAAAGGAAGCCATTCTAGTAAATGAACCTGTGACCTGTGGTGCAGTGCATGTATAAAGCTGACTGATAAAAGCTGCACTGCAAAAGTCAATGACCAGACATGCATACGACTTGGCTCAAAGATAAATACTAGGGTTGGATGAGGCCAGGTGGCAAAGGACTTGAAAGCATGTAAGGTGGATATGGACTAAGAAAACTAGGATACTCAAGAGAAAACTGGACAGTCTTCTGAGTAAGTAAATTGACACATCACATCATCATTTACACTTTATTTTCTTCATGTGCACTATAATTTAATATTTGTATGAGTTTCAACTTTGTTTATTCTGTAACTTGTTGCTGTTGCAGATATTCTGTTTACATGGAGGATTATCGCCGTCTATAGATACACTGGATCACATTAGAGCACTAGATAGAATTCAGGAGGTTCCTCATGAGGTGAGCGAAATAAATATTAGTGTTGATTTTATTCTTCATAAGATGGCAGCATATCTTACCAGTAATGTAGTTTAGTGCAATCTTTCCTTAATGTAGGTTACTTTTTGTTTCATTTTTGCTAGTGTTGTAGCTTTAAAACCCACATTATGCTGATACTGTCTTGATTGTAACAAGCCGGAAAGAACTAACAGGGATTGATAGATATGATGATGATAGAAAGTGATAAAATGGGCTTTAGTTTGATAAATAGGAAGACAGAAGTAATGGTAATATCACAGGAAAGAACAGTGCCCTAATGTATATTAACAGTCAAAGGCTTTATTTTAAGACAAGTACAGAACTTTCAAGTAGCTAGACAATGGATAACATTTGACAGATAGGACAAACTAAACAGAATAGGACAAGCTAAAACTATATTCTATAAAATGAACAATGGCAACTAATTAGGGGTGTTTCCTTAAAGGTTAGAGTGCATCTGCCTCAGAGGTGAGGAACCAATAGTCTGCATAGTCAGATATTTAAAATGGATGTGCACGCAAAACTCGAGTTCTGGGATGAGACCAAAGTTCAGAAGTAATCAAACAACCAAAACTTTTTGCCTTAGTTTTCACAGCGGGTGAACTGAGAGAATAATAAGACAAATTGATATTGAACATATTATATACTTATTTAACTGAAGGTCTTGGGATTCAAATCCACACCTGACAGATTTTGAAAACAAATATTGACCTTGGTTCCTGGGCCGGCCCAGTCTTAAACGGGTATGTGCAAAATGGTGAATTATTTCTTCTTCTTTTTTCATTCGCTTGAAATAGATTATCTGTATTTGCAGTTTTGTCTGTAGTTTGAACTTCACTGTCTTTTGTAATTCACTCAGTGATCCGTAATGTTTGGCATGCACCGGTGTTTCTCTTGGCCAAAAGTTTTGCCTCAATATGTTGTATATAGAACAGTCTTAGAGGACGTGATCTGTTGTCTCGGGTGCCAGTCCACATGTACTGGTTGCGATGATTCTCTTTTATCTTCTCCTGGCTCGCCTCATCGCACGCTCGCTGCCATCTCACAAACCGACATCACTCGACGAGCAGAAAAAATGGACGACTGGAAACAACACATATTACTGGCCAGCTTTTTTCGCCAAGTTGGACTGGAACAAATTCACTCACAAAAACATCTGCTGAATCCACACATCATCCACCGCTGTCCATGCACACTGTTCCTAGGTCCAAAACGAGACTGCTCACAAACCTTTTCTTCGCTATTATATAGCCCTCTGATCTATCCTGTTCTAGAATATTCTGAATTCATTCTCACGAATTTCCCACTGTTGAAAGTCGTGTCTGGCCCATGATAATTCACATTTCACACAAATCCTGTGAACAATCATGTTTCACATAAAACCTGACTTTCAGATGTCTCTCATGAAACTCAAGACATAAATCTCGTGTTATCTCAGCCAGTCAAAACATTCGTCTTACATCTATTACTGACGTCATCTATCGGGCATAAATTAATGAGGAGAAAATGACTCACTACACTGGTGCACAGATCTTCAATTTTGTATACATGTGTTGAATTTGATTTGCAGAGAGTTGAATTTGGCTTGCCAGTCCTGTACAGATCTACACAATTCAGTCTTCTGTGAAAAGAAAAGCATAAACTTGACATTAACTTTGATACTGTTCAAATTGTTTGAAATGGTGACATTTTCTTGTTATTGTTAATTTGATTACAACAATTGTGGTTGTTATATGATTTTGTTAGATCTGTATGTATGGAAAACAATGTTCATGTTGGTTTGTTCTGTAGGGGCCGATGTGTGATCTGCTGTGGTCTGACCCTGACGATAGAGGTGGCTGGGGAATCTCCCCTCGTGGTGCAGGCTACACTTTTGGCCAGGATATCTCCGAGACTTTCAACCACAGCAATGGCGTTACATTGGTCTCCCGAGCTCATCAGCTAGTTATGGAGGTAATACAGTCTTGCATGCTATGGCTTGCTTGTAATAATCTGAAGACATGTGGATGATTGTTGTGTGTCAAATCTGTATTTAATTGTGAATATATATACATATACGCTCTGATAATCCCTGTGTAGAAGGGTTAATAATGCATGAGTTAACACTCAGACCCAAGACTTTGGTATAGACAAGTTCACAGGGCTTAAACTTGACTTCTGGTGATTCTCACAAGATTCGACACACAACAATGATCTTTTTATATCTGTTAAAAATTTTCTAAATGCTGTGTGTGTTATTGCATTACAGTATCAAAGAAGATGAGAAGGTATACATTCTAATTCTAGCCAATTGATTTTTGAGCAAATAGAGGGGGACGTTATATCTTCCTTATAATTGGTAGACATTTTTATTAGAGTTTGCAGCAGAACATTCAGTTGCCTGTGATGCAAAGAAGAAGAAGTATCTCGTCATCTGGACTACAAGTTGTGCTCCCCATTGGACTTAACTAGGGCCGGTTTATGCATCCTGGTCGGCCCGCAGGGGGAGAACATGGACAGAACAGGGGCAGAACATGGACAGAACATGGACAGAACATGGACAGAACATGGACAGAACATGGGCAGAACATGGACAGAACATGGACATTCCCTGTCATCCAAGGAGTCAACTAAATGACACTTCTCCACACCCTCAGGCATCTTGGGCATACAGGGCTAGACCTATATTTTATAGACCAGGGTGGGTGATGTGGTCAGCATCACGCTGGCTGCCTTTACTTCCTAGGACTGTACTTCCGTCAACCTGAGAGCCAAGTTCATTTTTTAAGAAAGAAAAAGTCTGGCGCCGTCAGGACCTGAAGCCACGACCTTCCGATCCACAGGCGAGTGTCTAGCTGCTAGCGTCATCCAAGCAGGCTCCCATAGGAGCTGATACATGGTGTTCCCACAGGCGAGTGTCTAGCTGCTAGCGTCATCCAAGCAGGCTCCCATAGGAGCTGATACATGGTGTTCCCACAGGCTAGTGTCTAGCTGCTAGAGTCATCCAAGCTGGCTCCCATAGGTGCAAAGCTGATACATGGTGCTCTGGTACTGGGCTCACGTAGAGAATTATCACATCCTGCACATGATTAACCTCTGCCAGAATCTGCCAGTTACTGTCTGTATTGACCCCTTTTGCTGCATCAGCTTAATGAGAATTCAAACCTGGGTCTTCCATATACTGCTGCTTGACCTCACTTTTGTGTACTGAGCCTCCCACTCATCCCGGGCTATTCCCTCAGGGATCTATAGGAATTTTATTACTTACACAAAATGAGAAGAAAGCACAAAGGTTAAGTGTCTCAAATAATTCCTTATCTTTCTTTGTGTATTATAAATAATGAAGTAATATATTTGTATAAAATAGTGACCCTAAATGAGCGTAAAATGGCAGTCATTGGGGATGTTTAGGTATTGTAATGTTTTCTTCATCAGCATGTGTTTTACTGCTGCTGATTCATCTTCAGTGGCTGTACATTTCATGACTGGAACTGTGGTAACCGATCCTCTTAATGCTTGCCTGCAAGCCCGAAGGTCTTGCGTTCAAAAACCATATTAATTTGTTTCTTCTACAAGTGATCTTGTTTGATGCGAGGGTATACTTTTGTCTGATCGATCTATAAAAATATAAATCTAGCATCACTGGCAGAAAAAGGGTCCTTTACCTACTTGGTTTTTGGGGCGGGGGGGGGGGGGGGGGCTCTATGGCAAAGTGGTCAAGCAGTTTGTCTCGCGCTCTGAAGGTCGTTGGTTTGTTTCACAGCTGCACCCTTCTTCATTGGTGCAATTTTTACAGAGATCCATGGGGAGCGTCGTCGGAGCTACAGAGTTCATGGTCTGTGGGATGTTCTCGGCAGGCCGCTAGCCGTTCACCAGAGAGAGACCGAGCCATATGGGATAAAACCCGGTGCAAATGCAGTTGATCTCGACGTTGACCTTGTTACTAACTTGCATTTCAGGGCTACAACTGGTGTCATGACCGTAACGTGGTGACCATATTTAGCGCCCCTAACTACTGCTATCGTTGTGGTAACCAAGCGGCCATCATGGAGCTGGATGATGCTCTGAAGTATTCCTTGTAAGTACTCACCCCCTTTTTTTCTAAAGCTGTTTTCCACCTTGTTTAATGCTGAAGCTCTCCATGTGGGTTCCAGAGACCCCATTGTGGGGGAGAACAAGAGTAGACCCACTGCCTCGCCAACACGCATGTCGTTACAGTCGACCAATTGAGGGCTTCTTTGCAAGTCGAAGTGCATCTGCCTGAGAGGCAAGGAACCAACAAACTTCATACAAATGAGCAAGATGTATAAAAGGGATGCACACACAAAACTCAGGTCCTGGAACTAAGCCATATTCCAGAAATGGACAAACAGCCAGGTCTCTCTGCTGGGGTTCACAGCCGGTTAATGCAAAGAAACAAACACAGGGAGATTGTGTCGCTGAATGTCTAGTCTATAGAGAGGCAGAGGAATCACAGCGGGTTAATGCAAACAAAGAAACTAACACAGGGAGATTGTGTCGCTGTATGTCTAGTCTATAGAGAGGCAGAGGTATCACAGTCCATGGCTTTACCAAGTTTCTCCTTTCTGTTGCACAATGCCTGGACAAAATAGCAGAAACCAGGTGTTGGAAATGTGGTATTGAGAGGCCAATAATATGAAATGAATTTGTGTCTAGTATTATGCTTTTGTTTAGGCTGCCATTGTTTGGTGGCTAGATGCTGGCCTGGGGGTCAGAAGGCCGGGGGTTCAGGTCCTGAAAGAGCTGGACTTTGTTTTTCATAAATGAGCTTGGTTTACATGTTGACCCACCCAAGACCGACCCCAGCTGACGGGTCATGCTGCTGAGGTTACCAGACTGGGCTAACGATACGTTAATGCAGCAATTATCAAACTGGGTGCCGTGAGCGTATGTCAGGGGGTGTAGCGGCAATAATCAGAATTTGTCCAAATCTGCTTGACATTCAATTTGCACTGTTTTTATTTCTGTTTTTCTTAAGTATTGATACCACTTCAGGGGTAGGTGGGCCAGACTAAACAAGTTTGAAAAACGCTGCGTTAACATATCAATAGCCCTGATTTGGTGATGTCAGCAGCATGGCCCGTCTTGACCCAGCCTATCTCCTCTTGCAAAAGAGTTTGATGAAAAGTGAAACCAAGACTACGAAGGGAACAGTTTTGCAGTGTCAAATCTTAATATAATATTATCAATATCCATTTGTGTTCATACTGAGGAAGGCTTTTGGCCACAACATTCATTTTTTTCCTTAGTGATCGGTTTTTGTTGAGAAGTTGGCTGGTTTTTACTTCTTATTTAGAAATCAGCGTTGAGTTAATAAAAAAAAAGGCCTTGGCTCTCAGGTTGATCTAGCCTATATTGGGTACCGGGCAAAGTCCTGTGAGGTCGAGTTGTCTGGTATGGTGTTGTTTACATTACCATGACTACATGACCTACTGAGTGTCCATTGGTCTCTAGAAATGTGTGTCTAACATCATATGTCTGATGCACCACTGGCGTGTAAAGAGTCCTTTACTTGACTTCTCTTTTACATTTATATATTTTTGAAAAGGGTACGTCAAGGTTTGTGCTCCACAGTGATAGTGTAAACCTGCCAGTTTTGTCAGATAAGTCACATCTAGCGCTGACTATTTCTGCGTCTCATCCTAGTAAAATCTAGTGCTATTTCTGCATCTCATCCTAGTAAAATCTATTGCTGACTATTTCTGCGTCTCATCCTAGTAAAATCTATTGCTGACTATTTCTGCATCTCATCCTAGTAAAATCTAGTCCTGACTATTTCTGCATCTCATCCTAGTAAAATCTAGCGCTGACTATTTCTGCATCTCATCCTAGTAAAATCTAGTGCTGACTATTTCTGCATCTCATCCTAGTAAAATCTAGCGCTGACTATTTCTGCATCTCATCCTAGTAAAATCTAGCGCTGACTATTTCTGCATCTCATCCTAGTAAAATCTAGCGCTGACTATTTCTGCATCTCATCCTAGCAAAATCTAGCGCTGACTATTTCTGCATCTCATCCTAGCAAAATCTAGTGCTGACTATTTCTGCATCTCATCCTAGTAAAATCTAGAGCTGACTGTTTCTGCATCTCATCCTAGTAAATCTAGCGCTGACTATTTCTGCATCTCATCCTAGTAAAATCTAGCGCTGGCTATTTCTGCATCTCATCCTAGTAAAATCTAGCGCTGGCTATTTCTGCATCTCATCCTAGTAAAATCTAGCGCTGACTATTTCTGCATCTCATCCTAGTAAAATCTAGCGCTGACTATTTCTGCATCTCATCCTATTAAAATCTAGCGCTGGCTGTTTCTGCATCTCAACCTAGTAAAATCTAGCGCTGACTATTTCTGCATCTCATCCTAGTAAAATCTAGCGCTGACTGTTTCTGCATCTCATCCTAGTAAAATCTAGCGCTGGCTGTTTCTGCATCTCATCCTAGTAAAATCTAGCGCTGGCTGTTTCTGCATCTCATCCTAGTAAAATCTAGCGCTGGCTGTTTCTGCATCTCATCCTAGTAAAATCTAGCGCTGGCTGTTTCTGCATCTCATCCTAGTAAAATATAGTGCTGACTATTTCTGCATCTCATCCTAGTAAAATCTAGCGATGACTATTTCTGCATCTCATCCTAGTAAAATCTAGTGCTGACTGTGTTTGTTTTTCATCCGGCAGTTTACAATTTGACCCAGCCCCGAGACGTGGAGAGCCGCATGTAACCAGAAGAACTCCAGACTACTTTCTTTAAGGCCTACCATGTTATTGGCAGTTGTTGTGGGTATGTCACTCATCTATCAACAGGCTACAAGACAAAGAATTGTCTGTAGTGTATTATATGTAAAACAAGACACTAATTTGTATTGAAATCTTTACACTTGATGTTTTGTAACCTTGCCTGAATATTTCGTAACCTTGCCTGAATGTGTTTGTAACCTTGCCTGAATGTGTTTGTAACCTTGCCTGAATGTGTTTGTAACCTTGCCTGAATGTGTGTGTGGAGTGAGGAGTCAAGGAAAAGGCTGAGAGGATCATGTATAACATATTAACTGTTCCTTGTGTTGATGATATATTTATGTTCTTCACATGTTTTGTTGACGATTGTCTGTGGTTCCCCAGCCAGATTATTTGAAAGAAGTTGTCTGCATTATTATTTATAGGAAGAAATGGTTATATTTTGAAATGGTGTGCAGGTTAATGTAATTTCTTTAAAATGGTTCATATCTATGGGGAAAACAATAAAGGTTCAATGGCAGAATAAGCTCATCTTAGAACCTACTGTACCAGAATACTGGAGAGAATGAAAGAGAAATCACGGATCAGTTTAAATTCAGCCTTGCTCGTCTATTCTTGCATATATTATTTCTTTTACCTAGACAGCAAGAGAGTTGGAGTATGTCAAAAATATACAGACATACAGAAAGCTAAGATTCCTAAATCCTGAAAGCTGAAAATTAAACAAATCATGACAGGTTAATAAATTCACTTCATTCAGACATGATGGAAGACATCTAATGTGAAACTGATATTAAAATTAGAATTATATTAAGAGAAAAACATATATTAACACACACACGCACGCACACACACACACACAAAAAGATTGTAGAACAGGAAAACAGACAAGAATTCTGGGTGCTGCTGTCACCTTGCTGGCTTCACTAGAAGGGACAAGATTATAAAAGGTGGCTATTAGGCAAATTTTAGGCACACCACATGGTGCATTGATTGTGCATGGAAATATAAATATTCAGGCACCTCGTGAGAAAGAAGCCTATTGACTGCAGCCTTGTGTTTATAACAGCGGAGGCTATTCAGCTGTTGAAAAACTAAGAAACAGATGGACAAGCTTAAAACTATAGGGAACAGTATATGAATTATTTATCAATTTTTACATTGTTCTTGTGTGATCTGCAAGAGAATTGAGTTTCTGTATGTTTGTTTATTGTATACTATGTTTTAAATACACGTTTCTGTTTTAGAATTTGTAATGTAACATAGCTTTAGTAGTCGTTTAAATAATTCAAATAAATGTTCCCTTCTGTTTTCATTTTCGTTGTAATAATTTTATTCTTGGTTAATGTGATGTTTTGGGTTAGTGTGATGTGATGGTCACAACAGACGTCAGTAAGTGCAGCTAGTAAAAGTTGCATTTCCAACTCTAAAAGTAAAAATTGCATTTCCTACTCTAACTGAATGGTAATTGCAGCTTTGATGAGTACCTTCCTAATCCTGGTCTTGGCTTTCTGTCATCAGATCGAGAATGGATGAATGTACCATCCTGCTGATCTGGAAAGGCATATTGCGTTTTCTTCTTCTACGCGGTCACAGGCTGTAAACTCCGGCAGAAAGATCTGGTGGTTTGTCTACTTCTGGACTGGTCCTGTTCCAAAGCCTGAGTGTTGCGTGCACACCCATTTTACATACCTGACTCATCTGAATGCAGGCTGTTGATTACTTGTCTCTCAGGCAGATGTACTCAGACGTTTAAGAAAGCTCCCAAATAGTCGACTCATACCATATGCTTTTGGGCAGGCAGTGGGTCTATTCTTGTTTCCCTCACACAATGGGGCCCTGGAATCCACATGGATGAAGGCATATTTCTAAAGCAGTGAGAAGCATACTCCTAGGTGGGTAAAGGCAAGTTCGCATCCACACCTAACTCAGTTCTAAATTACAAACTCTTCCAATGTTACATTATCAAAATTGATTGTGCATCTACACCTGTATGAAATGACTCAGTGATGCTCAGTAGACACACAATCTTCTTAAGCATTTTGAACAGACCTTTCCAGCAAACCAAATTGAATGCCTTGTTACAATCAATGAAAGCAATATACATTGGTGATTTTGCTTGTGGCATTTTCTTGGGATTTTGCTTATGGTTTTTTCTTGGCAACTGTCATGATGAAAATATCGTATCACCCTTAGCTACACTGTGAAAGTTTGTTTTGAAGATATTTACTGGGGAAATAAGAAATGACATGTTATGTCTGGAATGATGTGGAAAAGTTCGGGAAATATCACTGGGGAAATCATAAATGATGTGGAAAAGTGTGGGAGATATCACTGGGTGAAAAAGAAAGGATGTGTCGGTCTGGAATGATTAAGCAAAATTATTATAATATTACTGGTAGTGGTGAAGTTTGTGTAGTGGAAATAAGAAAGGATGCTGGGCTGGAATAATATATGTTTGGCAGAATTAACACTCTTCTTCTTTTTTTTTCACCGGCTGTAAGTTCAGGCGGAAAGTCCTGATTGTTCGTCCATTTGGACTTTGGTTTTGTGCCCAAGCCTGAGTTTTGCCTGTACGTCTGTTTTACTGGCTTATTTGTGGATAGCTGGTTGTTCCTTGATGCTTAGACAGATGCACTCTTGACTTTGAAGGAAGTCGACTCCTACAGCATGCTTGTTGGGGAGGCAATGGGTCTATTCTTGTTTTCCTCACAACTTGGCCCTAGAACCCACACAGGGAGAATTAACACAATTTGCTGGATTACCTGATAGGATATAGGGAGTTAGTATGATGTGTTGGCTTTAGAATGATGTGTTGGCTTTAGAATGATGTGTTGGGTTAGAATGATGTGTTAGTACGATGTGAAAGGGGTTAATGTTGTGGTGTAGGATTAGGATGAATTGTTTTCCCAGTAACATGACTGCCAGGGTTAGCTTGAGTGGCTTAGTTGCAGGAGATCCAATATCAAATGAAATCATCTATGATAAATAATAAATAAACAGTGAATGCCACATTTGACTGCAGGAGTGAAAGAAAACCAGCCTAGCTAGAAAGTGCGTGTTTGTGTGTATATATTTATAGCTTGAATGTCTGATAGTAAGCACAATGTAGTTAGTGGGCGTACACATTTATGTGGGTACTTTATTTAATGTTGTATATCCCAAGATTATCCCGTATTGTATTTGCTTTTGTGTATGTTTAATTAGGTAACCAAATACATAAATAGAAATGTAAAAACTTTTTTGTAAGTTTATTTGCACAGCTGAAGGTTTGCTTAAAAAAAAAAAAAAACAAGCAGTATTGAAATTCTTCTTCTTTTTCTTGACGTTCACCAGCTGTACACTCTGGCGGAAAGTTCTGGTTGTTCGTCCACTTCTGGACTGCAGTCCTGCTCCAGAACCTGAGTGTTGCGAGTGCATCAGTTTTACAGATCTGATTCACTTCAGTGCAGACTGTTAGTTCCTTGCCTCTCCGGCGGATGCACTCCAACTTCAAAGGAAGCTCCCAATTAGATGACTCTTACGACATGCTTTTGGGTAGGCAGTGGGTCTATTCTTGTTTTCCCACAATGGGGCCATGGAACCCACACGGGAAAGTATTGAAATTGATGCTGGTGATTGTGTGAGGTAGTGAAATATGACAGTCTGCATGTGCCACATGATGATGATGATGATCATCTTTGGGTTACCCAGCTTTATGAGATAGGTTGAGTCATTTCAAGTTTGCTGGAAATGATTTTCTAAGGTTGGGCTCCAGAGGTATTTGTCATGCAGCCTCACTGGTGACAACAAAAAGAGTAGAGGACCCTTGTCCACGCCTTTAAGCGTATAGGGCATATAGGGCTAGACCTATATTTGTATAGACAAATGGGCACAAGATGGGGGATATGGTCAGCATCACGCCGGCCGCCTCACTGGACCACCTTGAACAAAAGTATATGTGAAAGTGTAACACTCCAATTGCAATATCTGCAAGATATTATTATTATTACCTTTAACCAGCCCCCCCCCCCCCCCCCCCCCCGAGAAAAATAGGTGCCTGTACTTACCAGAACGTGTCTAAAAAAAAAGATAACAATACTCACCACAAGGTGTCAAAAAAAAAGTGATGATACCACAAAGTGTCAAAAAGAGATGACAATACCACACAGTTTCAAAGAAGGACGATAATACCATAAAGTGTCAAAACAAAAGGTGACATTGCTAACCACAAAGTGTCTAAAAAGGTGACGATACCACAAAATGTCAGAAAAAGGTGACGATACCACCACGTGTCAAAAAAGAGGTGACGATACCACAAAGTGTCAAACAAAGGTGACGAAACTCACCACAAAATGTCAACAATACTCACCATAAAGAGTCTAAAAAAGGTGACAATACTCACCACAATGTATCTAAGAAAAAAAAAGGTGACGTTACCACAATGTGTTAAAAAAAAAGGTGTAAAGTGTAACTGGATGAAGTACATATTCCCAGATTCAAGCTGAGAACAGGAGTACCACATGGTAGTGTACTGTCTCCAGTCCTGTTCCTGATGTACATAAACTACCTAACACAAGCTCTACCCAGACATGTATCCCGTTTTCTTCACGCAGATGACCTAGCAGTGTGGTACACCTCTGAGTTCACTGGACCTTCCATATCAAAACTCCAAGAAAGCCTCAACATCTTCATAAACGGAGGCCGTGAATGGGACCTCGAAGTAAACAAGAACAAAACTAGCAACACTCTTCTCATTGTCTACAAAGAAGGAAAAGTTGACATTAAAATTCCACGCTCCAGTACTCCAACCTTACTGGGAGTCGTGCTTGATTGTCGTCTGACATGGAAACATCACATACAGGAAACTAGAAAAAACAGCCATGAGAAAACAAAGGGGTGATGAAGAAATTGACAGGCACCACTTGGTTGAGCGGGACAGTCAGACCAACTCTGGAATATGCATCATCGTCATGGATAACAGCAGCCCATTGTAGAAATGGAAAAGGCAGCCAAAATCCACAAAATGTCTATTTC